AGAGGCTCTTGTCTCTGGCTCCCACATCCACCCACCAAGGCAGAAAGAGGTTGGAAAGCAGGAGCTCAGTTGCAGGTACTTCTGGTCTCTAGCTACAGGAAACTACCTCCCCAACCCTTTCTCAAAAAGATACTGCCCATTTCATGGCACAATGCATAATTACAAAGTGTTTCTATAGTGCGAATCTTTACACAAATCAGGGAGAAAAATGATCTTCTGTTTCCACCCAAGAAACAACATGATTCAGGTTCAAACCAAGAAGAAGAACCATTTTGGTCAGAAGGAGGAAAAAAAAAGGTTTAGATCTCCAAGAAGTGGTAAAGCACTTTATTTTCTGTAAATCATCATGACATCAGTTTCAAGACCCACCCAACTGGGAGCATGGGGAATTTTTTCTTAGAAGGTTTGGACTGGGATCTTGGGACCCTGCACCTGCCCACATTGCCACTCGCCCTCTGGCAGGGCTGCCCTGGGTCTTCTATACTCAAGCCCACTGTGCTGTCCTTTCTTTTCAGGGGGCTACACACAGTCCCCTGGTGTGGGACTCCAGACTTCTCTCTGCCCTGTCCCCAACCTGAAAGGGAAATCTCTCTTTTCCATCACTGCATTCCAAATCACTCTGCTCCCTGTCAAATGAAATCTTGTGAGACTGACTTTTGAAACAAACAATCAGGAATATTCCTACCATTGTGCTTCTCCCTAGAGGAAATGAAGCCAAAATCTGGGATCTGCTTGATGCAAGATAAGAGGAAAGGGGGAAGTAAAGGGAGAGGGGAGAAAAGTTAATATACTGTGTATTATTCAATCACACTTGCTTTCAGAAAGAGTTACAATTCCTGTTGAAGCTGGTGACCAGTAGCACCGATTTTCTGTTTATGTTTTAAGTTTGGCTTAGAGTTCATAATTTGTTTTAGTCATTTTAGAGCATTCCCCCCTTCACAGAAAATTACTTATAACAAAGTAATCTCAAATGAGGATATATTTGAAGTATTCTCTGGACAAACAGATCAATCTTAAATATTGATCAGAATATTTAAGGCAGAATTAGGCTTTGGAAGCTACCTAACAAGTCCTATACTGTCTTTCAGATGCCCTGTCTTACAGGAAGCCTGCCTTGACTGACACAATGCAAACTGATCCTCACACTCTCTTAATTCCTATCACTTTTGTGGTAATTTCTTGTACTTTTGAACCCAATCATATATAGTCTTACTGCCAGCTTTTTACCTCCCTAGAGCACATTGCTCAGAGCTACCTAACTCTGTAGGTAGGATAAGTGCAAAACTTTGAGGGCAGTGATCGTGACCCAGTTGTTCCGTCATTTTCCCAAGGTCTCATACATAAATATTTATTCAATGAATGAATGGATTATACAATCTTAACCCGTTGCTATTGCCCTTAGCTATTTCTCCTATTATCCTCAGCAGCAATTCAGTGGGAAAAAATTTAGGGGGTTCATATTCACTCATGGAAATAATGAAATGGCCTGTTACTTTTCTGTGAAATCAAATAACTGAAGAACAAAATGTTCTTTAAGGCATTGATTAATGTTCTATATAAAACACTGAAACGTGCAGCCATAAATTATGCTGGCATTATGCATATTTCTATTTCTTACGTTTCCAACTAAGACTGTTGATGTTAGAATGTTAAAAAAGGTTCTTCATTTCAAAATAAATTTGTATCTCATTGAGGTCCTGTGGTTACTTTTTGCTTCAAGCATTTGCAAAACAATTCCAAAGAGCCATCAATATAGGCATTTTACAGACAGCAGCACCAATTATTTTATTGGAAAATATTTTAATATTACCACATTCCAAGTGAGGAAAAATCCTTACTTATCCTGCATGATTCCAAATAATGAATAATGACCTTTAAAATTCATTTAATAAACAGGTGTCTTCCTAATAACTTGTGTGACTTTTTTTTTTTTTTTTAGTTTTAGATTCTTACATCTTTTTAAATTTATTTCTAAGAACAAGTCATCCAAAATTTGAAATATTTCACACGAAGATCATGTATGGATGCTGACCTGTATGCCACTTCAGATCCATACAGCCAGGTGTGCACAGCATTTTAAAACTGGATAGTTTGGTTTGAAGAGTATTTGCACCACTCTGGCTTCTTTGGCTGATGCAAGTTCATAGAGGTGACAAGGTAAAAAGCTGCCATTGTGGTATTCTGTCTTCAGAAATCTCCCAACATACTTTCCATTTGTCTGGACTGCTATCCTTTGTCCTGGACTCCTCTCACACGCTGCATCCTCCTGACCTCCCCTCTAGCTCACCCCAAAGTGGGGCTCCCTTCTGCTCCCACTCTCTGCAGAGCCCCTTTGTTCAACACCACAGTTTTGGATTTGCTCTGTATTCAGTGACTATCTTCCAAGCTCCTGCCACGTCTATGCACTGTGCCCATGAGATTACATGAAATCAATGAGAGAAAGAGTGCTCCCTCTAGGAACTCTCGATGTGGGGAAGATGACAAATGCCAAAAACTGGGTGACTGCTGTTACCAGGGGATCATTGGAAGGCCATCTAATCCAGTCCTGGAGTGGCAAAAAGGCTTCTAGAAAGCTGATCCCCTTGTGGAATGGTGGCCAAGTAATAGCGTATGTGAGACCCCTCTAGGGACTCTCAGAACTAATTGGGGAGAAACTGTAGGTGCTGGAGCCCCAAAAAGCTGCTAGGGCAGGGCCAGATAAATATTGTTTTATGGTCATTGTAATGATCCACTCCTATGAGGATAAGCAAGAAGCCCTTTCAAATACAATTATTTTATATCCGGGTACTTTTGAGTTCTCTAAGAAATATAGGCCCATTTACTATTATTTTGGAAATTCTTTTGATGGTCAGTAAAGTATCAGATTACTTTGCTGCTGTTACTTTAAGTGACTAATGCTACTTAATTCTAAATACTGTACCCTCATGAGAAAATGAGAGTGAAAAGGTAAATAATACCTTACTACTACTCTGAAAATAATTCTGACTTCATGGACCCTCTGAAAGAATCTCAGAGGCCTACTTGGATCACTAGGCCATATTTTGAGAACTGCTAACAGGGAGTATAATCTTAAAAATAGATTTTTAAGAATGTGCCTGGATTCGTAGAGGAGGAATTATTTGATTGATGAATGATGCCTGCCTTGGGCACAGGAGCAAAGCATAATCTCATATTTGTGAAGTATACAGGCACTCCAACTCCATCTACAGTAATAAGATTGGTTTTTAAATAAGCATTCCATTATCTATACATAGAAATGAAAGCTGTCCTTCATAGTAGTCATGTTTAGAATCTAGTTATTTCAACAACTATCACCGTGACTAAACTATCGGAGTTCCCTGTAAATCTGAAATACAAATCAAACTCCTTACTTTACAGGCAAACTTGGTTTTGACCAAAATGATACTTAGGAGTTGGAAAAGTTACTTATACTGCCAGTCTTGGCTCCAAAGGACTTCTACTTCTGGAACAAATTTAATCAGCCTTGAAGGATGCAAATATGTGATTAATAAGGTCATAAGATTATCCCACCAAGGCTGGGCGCAGTGGCTCACACCTGTAATCCCAGCACTTTGGGAGACTGAGTTGCATGGATCACTTGAGGTCAGGAATTCAAGACCAGATTCAAGACCAGCCTGACCAACATGGTGAAACCCCGTCTCTACTAAAAACACAAAAAAAGTTAGCCAGGCATGATGGCACATGCCTGTACTCCCAGCTATTCAGGAGACTGAGGCGGGAGAATCCCTTGAACCTGGGAGGTGGAGGTTGTAGTAAGCCAAGAGCGCGCCATTGCACTACAGCCTGGGCAACAAGAGTGAAACTCCGTCTCAGAAAAAGAAAAAGTTTATCCCACCAATAATTTGAGTTTCTATAATGTATTGGGTACCCTGTAGAGTGCTGAGGATGGAAATGAAAGGCACAATCTCTGCCCTGAGGCACTTCTAATATGCACGGAACAGACAAGGAAACTTAGCAGTTAAAACCAGCATAAGCAGCACTATCACTGAGGGGAGCTCAAGCTGTGTTGAAAGCAGCCAACTCCAAAGGGGTGGAGAGAAGTAAGGAAAGACTTCCTGGAGATATCTCATCAGCTGAGTTCTGAGGACTTGAATGAGTCAGATAGTATTGGAATAGGGGAAGTGGTGCATCAGTGAGGAGGACTTCCAGAGGGATAGTAGGTGCAAAGACATGAAGACAGAAGAACTGTAGACCACTTACACTTGCTCTGACCCACAGTTGGGAATGCAACTTTGAAACCATGGCATGCCTCCCTCACAAAAAGAAGAGGAGAGACGGTGAAGACAAGTCAGAAAGAATCGCATCACATTCACTGGAAAAGTCATTAAAGCATATGCCTCCTGCAGCCACATGGCCTATTGAGATACTCAGGTTTGGAACTGATTAACTTGGGTTGGAGTTTCCTATTCTCTTTGAGCCTCGAAGTTTTCATCTGTAAAATGAAGACAGTCAACTTATGGTTGCATTTGCAAGGGTAAATGGGATGTTTGTAAACTGGTAGATAACGGGTGCTCAAAAATGGTCGTCATCTTATCTCTACTCAATATTAATAAGGCCATGGCTGGCAGACGCACAGCAAGGGCAAAACCAAACACAGCATGAAATGTTAGCATCCAAGGGGTTGCTCATTTTATACTGGAAGACCTGTCACGATGTCTAAACTTAGTGTTTCACCAGGAAAACGTGACAATCAAGCAATGTACAGTCAAGATCAGGTTAAAATAGGGAAATGAAAGTAAATGTGCACTGACAATCCTGGTTTTTTTAAGGTTTCTCTTCATGGATTGCTTTGTGCTCCTCCTCCTGCAAGACGGTGAGTCTCCACAGGCCCACGAATGTCATACATGAGTGCAAGCTTGGGAAAGCACCTATCCTGTGCCAAGGACAAAATGTCTGTGGTCCAGAGCACAGCTCCCAACCCAGCCACTATGAATCACGCTTAGCCCCACAAAAGAAAGGAAAACAGGAGAGACACTGGATTGGATCGTCCAGAAGGTCTTTGTTGCAATTTTTCTCCATCATTGAAAAAAAAATTACATCATCAAACAAAGACAATAGCAGCACAGCTTATTGAAATGTCACAAGCAAATTTGTTTTGTACTTTTCCTAAGAACATTACGAAATCCCCCTCCCCCGGCATTATTTTCTGTAAAATGCCTTTTTTTTTTTTTTTTTTTTTAAGCACCATGAAATCCTACAGAGAGAAAAATAAGTAAAACACCTCCACACATGGATTTATCATCGTCACTGGGTCCCCTGCCTGTGACTCTGGGACGGGAAGGAGGCCAGAGGCTGGCATGTGAGGTGGTTTGCATATCGCTTCTAGGCACCACTGCACCTTCTCCCTTCAAGCTCAGAGCCCCGACAGCAAAGGAGAGGTTCCGCAGTTACTTTCTGCAGCATCGGTCTGCTGAATCAATGGAGCAGGAGTCCTCTCAAAATAATTTCTTTTAATGCACAGGGAACTGTTTCAGATTTTTCACCTAAGAATCAGGAACACAAAGTAGATACCAAATCTCAGGCACCTGTGAAAATGATCACCACTTTCAGTAAAATCAGAGACACCTCTCATTTCTCCTCAATGTCACTGCACTGATGTCGAGTGACTTATGACAGGCATGAGAGAACTGAGGTTTACATAGAGTATGGGTGGGTTGGTGAAGTCCAATGAAGGTATGGTGCAGGAACAGAAGTCAGGGCTTTGCTTACAGCCATGTAATTAGCATGCTGTTCCAAAGATTCCCTATGCAGAATTAACAGCATCCACAGTGCTACACTACAGTGATCTTTGTTTCAGAGAATTACCCTTTTTCTTTTATAAGGCCATTACTAGCCAGCTCTTACTGCTCACTCAGCCACTGTCTTTGCACACAATTGCATCATAACAGTGAGAAAGAATAACCCCATATTAGCAAAATGCAACAAGCAGAGATATGGAATGTAACACTGGCTGGTTTCTCCTTTCTCGTTTTACAGGGGCTCTGAATGTTTGTTTTCCTACGCCTTTCCCATGGTTCCGAAACCTTGGTACACACTGGATGCTTCACATTCTCACCAAATCCAGTGGGTAAAAACCAGCCCCACCCAAACTCTGGTCACCTTCTCACTAGTCCTCAGAACCCAGCATGCAAATAGACAGGCAGCACTGACGAAGCCAGGAAATGATATCATCTCAGAGGGAGGCAAGGGGGCGGGTTCTTAATTTTTAGCTCAACTAAGACTTCAAACATGGAATGGTCCTTATAGAACCCAAAGCAGCCATTTCCTCAGGGGTGTGTGTGTGTGTGTGTGTGTGTGTGTGTGTATGTGTGTGTGTGTGAGAGAGAGAGATGTCTGTCTGATCATAGTACTTGAATTCATGATACATGAAGTACTACAACTGACTGCAAATAGCAACAGCTTAAAATTCTTTAACTAGTCTTAACACCATGCAAAAAATGCCCTCACAGCATGAGCCCTCCCGGTAACAGTACACTAAAGAGCTATAAGGGAGGACAGAGAGAGCCTACACAGGGCATGATCCGAATTTGGATACCAGTCTCCCACGTATATCTGGTCTCCATCAATCCCCCAAAAGACAAATCCCAAAGGGCAGGAGACTAAGCTCTCACCTTAACCTAAAATGGGCAAGACAATTAATTAGTCATTATTCACAAATCCAACTTATAACTTAATAAATTTAGTGAACTCATTGACTAGGGAGTGTTTCATTAGAGAACTGCATAACTACAATGGACCTTGACAAGTATCTATGCTCAACTCCCTTGATGTGCAGACAAGGTAATGGAGATCTAGGCAGGGAACTGATGTGCCCACAACCACAGGCTATGACTAGTGGAACACAAATAGTCCCAGTTACCTTAGTAACAGGCCAGAGATGGCCCAACACCACCCCAACCCCCACATACGCATGCGCATGCGCATGCGCATGCACACACATACACACACGCACACACGCTATACAGCCCTGCCCCAAAGTGATAAATTCCTGGAATCACTATTGGGTTAGGACTGGGTATGGAGCTGTACTCTTTCCAGGAAAAAATGCCCATTGGCTCTCTCACCAGTAAACCTCCAATTTGTCATGCAAGAGAAATTCAGTGCCCGATTGCCAGTGAAGCCAGTGAAGCAAAAGGCACCCCCCACCGAAGATGGTGGACGTGTGCTCTTTCCGTGTGCGAAATCGACACATTTCTCCTAGGTTTATGGTGGAGTGGGAGTGCAGATTGGAAACGGAGGGCTGTGCTGATGCATGTATAGAATGTGTAGCAGCTTTGACTTATCACGTGTATTCTACATGCCATTTGGCCCCATCTACAAAAGGTAACATTCAAGTAACTTCACACCAACCTACCTCCTCCAAAAATCTTAGTTTATATGAAGAGGAATCCAACCTCTTTTTCTCTCTCAGCTTCTTTGTGAGAGTGTTTTATAGGTTTCTAAACACTTTGCACACATATTTAATCCATCAGTCACCATAGAGGGTCTTCTTTGATTTTGTTCATCAGATTCGTGGCCAAATGTACCCAGGGAATGGGTTATGTAGAAAATTTCCCCACTCCCAGCCCAAGGTTATGTTTGATCCCTCTGTATGACTGATTTGACTCGTTTGGGGAAGCATCTATGCACACACCAACACATGCACCTGTTCCATTTGGTAGAGTATGCAGCTTAGTGCTTTGAACTATTTTATTCCTGCTGCATGCAGAGTTCCTACAAAGTTAGCAAGTAAAGTGCAAAAGAGTGCTTTCAAAGGGCATTTTCTTAAAGGGTGCCACATACAGAATTTCCAAAACCAAAACCAAATAAACGTACAGTAGGTGTCTGCAGGGGCAACCCTTTGAGCCATGTTTACACAGAGACCTTGTGCCCTCTTGGTGGTGGAGACTCCTCCATATCTGCTCCCCACATCTGTAAGCTGTGTCCATGAAGCTAGAAAGACACACATACACACAAACACACACATTCACAAGGATGCATGACACAGACACTATAGTGAAGTTGAAAGCAGACTTTGGTCAGACTTTGAATACCAGCTCTTTCTTGCTATGTGCCATTGGGTAAATTACATAGCTTCCCTGAGCCTCTGTGTCCTTGTGTATATAATGGGTTTGCAAATACTTCCCACATAGTGTCGTGAGGTTTCATTGAGCTGACGTTCATAAAGTGCCTGTCCCACAGAAAGCACTGAATAAGTGAGAGGGAAGTCTTTGCCAGATTTGGCCATAGGGCCTGGAATTTTAACACACTACTACAAAGAAGGTACCAGATAACACAGAGTGGAAACCCAAATAGGTGAGATCCATGGAAAGTTTAATTAGGAAACTTCGACTTGTTAGAATAACAGGAAGTCCCAGTTATCTACTTATTCCTTAAAACACATTTTGTCAGGCTGGAATGGTTCCCATAGTAAAACTCAACATCCACACCTGCATAAACATCGCCTCCCAAGTGACTATTTATTACTGTGTCGACACAGGATGTCACCAGTGAGCGTCATCTCCAGTCCAATGGAGGAGTTGACTTAGACCTTCCTTGGACAGGAGGGGTCTCATCAAAGTTGATTCTTATCTGGCTCCTTCTCAAAAGCAATGCCAGAACTTCAACAGAGCCTAAAGGTTCTGGGGACAGGGAGAGGAGACTGCCTGTGCTCCAGGCAGGGGAGAGCTGTAAATTTTTGAGAAATGGGCAGGGACAGGTCTTCCATGGTACCAGCAGTCGAGGATGTCATGGGTACAACATTCCCTGGAGGTCAGAAAGCACTAGACAGTTTCTGGAAGTCTCTGTTAGTGCTGTGATCTTTTGGTAAATCCACACTGCAGGTTAGTTATGTAAAATCCCGTGAACTCTCTAAAAGGTAGCAGTGAGCCTAGAACACCCATAACCAGCAACTGCCTGGTGTTGCCAGGTCCAGATGCTTTCATGTGTGGCCCAAAGAGCTAGCTGTGAACCAGCCAACTATGATAAAGACTGAGGCATACACAGCAGTATGTATTTTCCCCTTTCTGATACAAACCCATTTAAAATCATCATGCAACCGATGACCAGCCATTCCCCGACTTTCCTCTATGGGACGTTCTAGCCTCATGGACCAATCATAATTACGATGCGTTAGCTTATCGTTTGCCTGCGAACAATCATCTAGAGGTGTTCCAGTTTTAGTGAATTACCGATGTGAGATATAGAAACAAGCAAGGAGAAGAAGTGACATTTTCAGAATAAAGGAATGCCCAAACATAAAAGTAAAAATGAAGTATTTTAAATATTTCTAAGTATCATTGTTAAACGGAATTAATGGCACTTATGCTGCAAGCAATAAAAACATTTCAAGCTTACTGTACAAGGGGTACATTTTCTCTTTGTTTGGAGATAGCGAGATTGGATCTTATCACTATGTCTACCCTAAGACACCCAAGGGACAAAAAGCCCTGAGATGGAAAGATGCCACGGTCCTCCTCAGTGTGTCTCAGAAATGCAGGATGTCTACTTTTATAAAAATGTAGGATCAGCTAGACAGAACAGCAAGCCACTGGCATCATGCAAGGCAATTGTTTTGGTATTTCTCCCCTTCTTATCAAAACAAGTTATAAGCAAAGTACATGGACATTTCCAAATCAGTTTATTGTCACCATTGCACCCACTGAGGAAAATGCATGATTGGCTTTTAACCACACAGCAGCTGATGTCGCATTTCACCACTGCTCACCAGTTCATGTGGACTACCTACCCCTGTGAGAAAGACCAGACTCAGCAGGCTTCTGTCATTGGTTAAGGTGGTATCCACAGTGTGATGTGTTTGTGGTTATCTTTGTTTCTTTTGTCATGAGAAAAGCAATTGCACCTTTTAAGACGTGTGCTCTGATCTGCTTCCAGCAAATTCCAGGTGCTCTCAAGTCCCCACAGACATTCATTTGGAGCATAGAAAGACTAGGTATGATGCACTGAATGGTTTGTATCAAAATTCAAGCTCAGAGTACATGCCAAAATGTCAACTCCAACCCTTGTTACACATAACCAGTTCACCCCCAATCAGGTCCCCTTCTGCATGTGCACATATTACTAACGACTCCACTAAAAAGACACAACTGTTTCTTTCAGGAGGCTGGTCTAAAGTATAGCTGCCCTTGTCTACGTGTGTGCCCAGGTGGCACTGCCCAGGGGTACAGACTGCCACTGCAATGCCCTTAACATGTACGGCCAGAACCGGCTACGTGCACGGACACTCTTGGTGTGTCCTGTGGTTGCTATCTGAAATGAAGTTCTTGTTCTCTGATTCCTTTTGGCAGAGCAAGCTTTCAGTTGTTTATGGCACAGTGAAATATATTCTTCAATGCTATGTAATTTTGGACTAATAAGTCTGTTTAAGGCACGTGTCTCAGTGTGAATATTAAAAACACACACACACACACACACACACACACACACACTGCTCAGTCCAAGACCAATGTCCTTCACATTTAGTTTCTGTCTTCAAGTAATGAGTTGTTCTCCAGCTCCCGGTCTTTGGTGTCCGTGGGTATCATACCGTTCTCCATCTCAGCGTGCTGCTGGATACAGTCTGTCAGCATGGCTGTGCTGGAGTTGTCCGAGTTACACATCTTTTCCGTCTCCTCCTCTTTCTTCTCCTCGTCCAGGGAGTAATTCCGGAAGGTCTTGTAGATTTTCTGAACGTCCTCGGGCAAGGTCTTTTTGAGGTCCTTGTTTTTCCTCTTGGTGAGTCTGGAGGTGGACCCGAACTTGTTGATGATGTTGTCCTCAGACGCGCCCTGCCCATGCTTGTTCAACTGCTCCGGTCCCTTCAGACGCAGGTTGTTGGGCCGGTTGTTGATGCTCTCCTGGGATGAGGCCTTGAAGCGGCCAGTGTCCAGGGCAGCAAAGACAGAGCGCTTCTCGGGGGACAGCATGTCCAGCGAGTGGGCCCGCTGGTCCAGGCCCAGCCGCCGGCGCTCCATGCTGCGGATGGTGGCTGCCCGCTGCAGCTTATCGTGGATCTCCACGCTGAGCCTTCGCCGTGTCTCCCGGAACTCGGCCGTGACGTTGGCCTTCCACTCCGCCGCATGGGCCTTGATTTCACCCACCTGGCCGAGAGACAGAAGAGCAACAATATGCTGACAAATGCCATTTGCCTTGGGCCTCCCAGCTCCCAGCCCTTGGGTGTCCCCACGGGGAGGCCAGGAGGTGGCGGAGCACGTGCCCAGGGAGAGGTGCAAATGCTACCTTCAGACCTAGTACTTCTGCCACCCGGGCACCCATCCCTAATTGGCTAGTGAATAAGGTGGCTCAGGGAGACACACGTGGTGGGGAACCCCAAGAAGCCTGAGATTTGGAGATGGTGACTTAAAGAGAGGGGGATGGCATTCTGCAGGAGAGGTTAAAATGTGGAGTTGGACAGGCCTGGCTTCCAGCTCTCATATTTTATCAGTTGCATGGCCTCGTTCCCCCACCATACACTTGAGTGACCATAGCTAGCTCATCGGAGATGAGGAAATACACCTCAGTCCCGGGCACAGCGGATGTTGTGCAGGCCTTCTGCCCTCCCGGCCTTTCTGGTTTGCTATCCAGGTAGGGTGACCAACCTGTTCCAGTTTGCCCGGGGCTGTCCCAGTTTCAAAACAGAGTCCTGTGTCCTAGGAACTCCCTCAGTCCTGGGAAAACTGGGATGGTTGGCCACCCTATCTGGGCCATGCTATGGCCATGTGCTGTGGGGCTTTTCCTGGTTTAAGAAGCTACTCCAGGGCAGCTGGTAACCCACTTCCCCCAGTCAGGGTGCAGGAAGAGGGCCTGTTCTGCCAAAGCCCACAGAACAGGCCTCCTTAGAGTGGAGTTTTTCCTAAGAATCAGCACCAAATGTCTTGGCTCTTAATGAACAGGGCAGACGGTACAAGTCCCATGCTTCCCTCTGCAAATGACGAACTCAAATTTGTGCATTCAGGAAAGTCAATATTCACGTTGTTCCCTTCTCTTTTGTTACAGCTGATTTTCAGCAGGTCAGTTAGCTGTCTGGGGAATCAGTCTGGAAATTGCATTGCTTACTTTCCTGGCTTGCTTATGTAAGCTGGGAAAATTAGCATATGGACCCAGGAAAATGATATGGGAAATCTCTCCATTCAGCAACTTTCTCCTGGGGCCTTTTATACAGAATGAAACAAACAGAGGCTGGCCCTTTCTTTATTTCTTTGGTTTTTCTTATCTCCCTTCCTCTCTTCAGCTCTTTTTTTCTCCTTCCTTGGCCTTCCTCCTTTCTTTTCCTCTCTTCCTAAGAGAGCTACATTATATATATATATAATTTTTGAGAACTACATGAATATAGATATATACATATATATAAACATATATATATATTTTGAGACGGAGTCTCGCTCTGTCGCCCAGGCTGGAGTGCAGTGGCGCATCTCCGCTCACTGCAAGCTCTGCCTCCCGGGTTCACGCCATTCTCCTGCCTCAGCCTCTGGCATAGCTGCAACTTCAGGCGCCCGCCACCGCGCCCAGCTAATTGTTTGTATTTTTAGTAGAGACAGGGTTTCACCATGTTAGCCAGGATGGTCTCAATCTCCTGACCTCGTGATCCGCCCGCCTGGCCTCCCAAAGTGCTGGGATTACAGGCGTGGGCCACCGCGCCCGGCCTCATTAAATGTTTATTTTTGAGAGTGCTGGTGATTCTGATGGGGCTTTTGTGTGAAGGAATTATCACCACCAACACCACCACCAGAAAACACCCGGCCGAATATTTATTTTTTGATCACAAAATCTATCTTTCCTTCTTATGTTCCCTTCATGTAAAGTTACATGCACAGCCCTGTCCACAGGGATGTATTTGTCTCTATGGATGCAACAACCAAGAGGGGATATAAGTGAAAAAGACCCGTTGGATTCACTTCCCCATGGGGGGCCACTGTTCGATGATTTCAGTTTCTTACTGAATCAGGAGATTCTTGGTGTTCAACTGCCCTTCCACACAGACCCTGAGGCCGGAAAGGCAGGCTGCACACCCCCTCAGCTGCAGTCTACCTCTCCTGACTATTTATTTTCATTTTCATTTTTAAAAAATCAGCTGTTGTTTACTAGTTTTTCCAGGATTTATGAACTGGTAAACGAATCACCATATTTTCTCACCTGCCAAAAAAAGAATCCAGAAATAACTGTATTCTATTCTCCTTGGTTTTGAAGGAATGATTCAACATGAGGAAGCCTATGAGACCCCCGCTCCCAACTGAGCCAGAAACACTCCAGCCCACAGGACAGAGACAGGCAATTCTGGACACAAGCTCATCTGTTCTCAGAAACGTTCACAGAGTTAGGAAGGGGTCCTACCTCTTCTTTTGTCTTTTTGGACAGAACCCGTAGCCAATCTCCGATCATACTGAGGACAGCTGCAAAGTAGGCAAGGCCAACAAGGATCCAAAACCACACTAGGGGCTTATACCACTCGCGATAATTGATGCCAGCGTTTCCCCCTGAAAACAACCAAATGTTACTTTAACCGTGATCTAGTATATGGTTTTTGCAGAGAACACATATTCCAGTCTATGTAGTGAAGACGTCATCCATTATTGTCTAGCACTCAGCTGTTAGGTCTGCTGTGTACAAGGTGGACTGGGGTTAGAGGGCAAGGGGGAGACCCGTCCCTTACCCACAGGAGCCTAACTTGAGGCTTATTTCCCTCAATTCTTGACCACTAACCTTAATACCAGAAATAAAACATGCCAGTGGCCAACCTGACCTACTTATGCTCAACCTGAGCGTTGAGGATGAATGACTCTGAACTACAGCACAACACATCAGGCCTGGCTGTCATTGTTTTTTCTTAAACTTCTCTAAATTTATTTTAATAAAAATCAAATATCATATCGCCCCCTATGGTTTGGAATTCTTGGAACCATTTCCATCTTAAGCACTCATACATTTACTAAGAGACAAGTGGATGTGTGAAAGTAAAATTAGCTTTAACGGCATTACTGGGACTTTAATGCAAGCAATAGTGATTTAATGCTAACTGAGGAATGGTGTTTACATAGTGCTACTCCAAAGGGTCAATTAGGCTGAGTAATTAGAGTCACCATGAGCTAGAACTAAAAGGGACCTTTGAGGCCAATCCTTTTATTTTATAAATAAGGATTACAGTAAAAAAATCCATCAAACCAAATTGGCCAGTTGCCTGATTGCATTGACTGGCTGTTCCATTGAAAGGACCAGTCATTTATTCTGAATAATTAGCCTATTTATTCTAACCTTCCTACAGGCACTGCTGGAGGCAGCCATGCAAAACAGGTTGCAAGCCCAACCCCCCCTCCTAAAGAAGAAGTGAGGAAGCTTCTGGAAATAACGGACATCAGCCTCGATCTCTCTCTGGGAAACGCTGTTGCCTAAGGAAGCAGGCAGTGGCTGTTTCTAAGACGACAGATACTAGCAATGGATTGGTAACTACAGTATTAGGTGATGAGTGATTAGAGACTTTCCCACTGGACCAGGGTTGTAACCACATCTAGCACCACTGACTCTTACAGCAAAGGCAGCTGGGCAAGAAATGTGACCTGTGGCTCCTCTCGACAAGCCCAAAGCCAATCAGCAACACAGCCCAGCACTCCACGAGGTCCTGACAGCTACTGCCACTTCTTAACGTTAGAATTCCAACTTCTCTGTGCCAAGCCCCCTTCAGTTTGGTCCAGCTGCTTTTGGTTTTTCCTTTCAGACAACTCCCTCCTGCCTCTTTACAGCTTTAGGATACGATTTGAGTTCCTGCACCAGTAAGTGGTTTTTGAGGTTCATTTCATTTCTGTGGTTTCTGTGCTATGCCAGAGAAATCTGTAGCTTTCTCCTGTGGGCTATCTGGGAGTAAATATTTACCTTTGCAAGTCACTATCACCCAGCAAAGATGGTCACTAGGGTGCGCTAGTGAACAAGGAACAAAGAAGCAGGCAGTCAACACCCTTCTAAGTATCCCTTTATGAGCTGCTTATCTGGATTCGGAGTTCTGTGTGTGCTCCCAGACAGAGCTGCAAAATACTGTAAGGCTGTCCTAAAGTGAGTCCGCTGCAAAACAAATCAGCAATCAATCCTGAAGGATCAATGTTCTGATTATATTTCTAGTAGAGTTCGTACTATGTCAAATCACAGCCACCATCAACTCTGGTTAATGTGTCTTTTTCCAATGATTGGGCAACCTTCCCTATCACTCTTAGACTGTTACCAAAAGATAGAGACAAACTTCCAGTCTTTTCAGGCATGCGTTCTCCAGATTGGTGTGTGTAAGCTCGGAAAACTGGAGCTTGGAAGGGGTCTGGGCTAATTGCCGTCCGCACTGTGGCTTTTGAGAGACCACAGTCTGCAGAAACCTCAGGACAAAGGAAATATGGCTCTGTAATCACTGACAAGGGCAATAAAATTGTGCATGCCTAGGACTGTTTAGGTTGTGCCCTTACTAGGTAAGTAAAGATAAGGTAAAGTGCTAGTTTGTATGAAGTGCTCAGTCCATGGTAGATATTAATAATAATAAATAATAAAAGCATCATTTAAAAAATCTCACTCCCAGGCCTCTGCTGTTTGTGCCTCAGACTAACAGACCACACTGAGCCATTGGTTAGAGATCTGTGTCTGTCACAAGTATCTTATAATAGATAGTCCTCGGGACAGCCCAGTGCCATCCCAGAGAGCTCTAAAGCACTACACACCGCAGGTTATGCTTTGGGTACTTAAAGGCGTTTGTGAAATAGTTCAAAATTCCAGCTGCCACTACTTGTGTTTGCCTTAGATTGGAACCACGACTGAGTTTTCCCATAGACCACCTACGGATGATGCTAAGGGATTAACTGGAATACATCTATAACTGTTCCTCTTACTTTTCTCAGTTTCTCTGTGCGGTCTCTCTTTGGAGCTTCAGGCCACTAACTAGATATCCATGGTTGAGCACTGTGCATAAGGAAAAATGGGTAGAGTCCTAGACTCCAGGATTTCTGTAAATGATTTTTAGTCGAATTGTCAAAAGTCAAAAAAACTAAATTAAGTCACTTTGCAATTCTTAGTCCTTAAGCAATAAAAAGGAAGGGGAAAAAAACCCCTACTGTTTCTACAAAGTGGAATTCAATCTTTGTCTGCCCAGTTGGAAGAGCTACAAAACCACTCTGCCAGTTATTTGTATTGTAAAATTAACAGGGAGGCACCCACACCCCTATTGATGAGCCTTCAGCAATCTCTTCCAGAATGTCCCGTTTGCCAGACTCCCAGAGATCAGAACCCACTCCTCCTGATGTGCACAGTATTTCCATGGAGAAATCAAGACACTGCTGGGATCACACGCCAAACAAGAACGGTCTGGCCAGGTGCAGTGGCTCACACCTGTAATCCCAGCACTTTGGCAGGCTGATTGCATGAGCCCAAGAGATGGAGACCAGCCTGGGCAACATGACTAAATCCCATCTCTACAAAAAATACAAAAAATAAAAATGAAAAATAGCCAGGCGTGATGGCACACGCCTGTAGTCCCAGCTACTCAGGAGGCTGAGGTAGGAAGATTGCTTGAGCCCCAGAGGTACGAGGCTGCGGTGAGCCGTGATCACACCATTGCACTCCAGCATGGGCAACAGAGAGAGATCCTGTCTCAAAAAAAACAAAACAAAACAAAAACAGTCTGCTTAGGGCTCAGGTCAGGCTGTCACTTCACCAGGAACTGGTAAAGGAAACACTCTCACACACACACACACACACTCTACCCAGACATTTCAAACTTGTGATAGATGTTAGAGTTGTTCGATCAAAGGGTTCACTTCTTGTAGTAGAAACCGATCACTTGACTGAACACCTAGAACTATCCTATTAGAAAAAAAGAAGGATGGCCTCTTCCTTCTATCCGTACCTTTCTACTACTTTGGGAAACTGGTGCTCATAAGAAACGAAGTCTCATTTCATTTGCAAGTTCCCTGGCCCTAGATGAAATTGATGGTGATTTTTTTCACTTCCTTAAACATAGCTCATCCACATTTATTTTTACAAGGAAGGCTCTTGCTTGTATACACACTCCTGCAGAATTCATGAGCTTATATTCCCTCTGGGCAGGTGTATCTCAGCTCCCCGTAGATACACCTTAGCTTTGTATCTGGTCATGCCCAGGACAACATTTGCAGAGACAATGGCTCTCACCTGGGAGTCAGGAAGCTGAACCCCAGGTCACTGCAGACCAAATTCTATGCTAATCTCATCTGAGTTTCCTATGTGCCACCTCCTAGCACAGCCTTTATCATTAGATTAGAAAATTCAGAAGTCCAAGATTCAATGAGAAATTCACTTTAGTCTTGCATAATTCATGTGACGATAAGGGAAATAGCATCCTGAGAAGGAAAGGGTTGGCTTTCTTTTCATGGCAGAAAAAACCTATGGTGTTTATATTATATAGGACTAGGGATTTGAAATGAGCCTCTTCATAGAGTAGTGACACTGAGTCATCTTCATTTGCTTCTCCTGCAACATCTTTTATCGATTGTGAAAAGCACAGCCAACAGATTATTTTCCCCACCAGAGCCCCAGTGCCTGGGATGCCAAGGGTGCTTACCTGCCACAAAATCACCAAAGCCCACCGTGGTCAGAGTGACCACCACAAAGTAAATGGACTCCAAGGCCGTCCAGCCCTCGATATACTTAAAGATGACAGCAGGGATCGTCACAAACACAATGCAGCCGGCCAAGATGAACAGGATGGTTGAGATGACCCGGATCTTGGTCTGACTCACTTGCTTTTTCTAGGAAGAGCAAAGGAGAAAGATAGACAAGTCAGCGGCATCACCCTGGATTCAGGATACAGATGCACAGAAAAAGGTATTGTGTCAGTGACTTTTAACTTTTCTCTGGTCATTGGCTGCTTGGAGGAAGTTTTATGAACTCCCTCCTAGAAAAGTGCACAAACAGAAGTTTTCAAGTGGTCTAGGAGGTTCTCAGGCTCCCTGAAGCCTGTTCCTGGACACCAGGTCAAACAAACAAACAAAAAATCCTGCTTAGCCGAAGCTTTGAATGTTTCTTGCATGGTTCCATGACTGCAGCCCAAATACTGATTCTAACTTCTCACTGGTACAAATATAATCATTTCCCAAAAAGGGCTTGCTGCCATTTGTCATGTAGTATTACTGATCCTCCATTCGTGAGAATGAGTTTGGAACTTTTTCCACAATGGTGGTGATGGATTTGCACCGGTTCCCTTGTGTCAAACAGAATATGCTGGAAAAAAAATTATCCAAGTCAGGCCAAAATGTTTGGATGAAACGGAAAACACAGTCATCCCCATCTTCACTTGTGACTGACTCTAGCCAAGTATTTGCGTGTTTCTTCACCCCCACCTTTTCCCTGCTGAAGCTGTACATTTATAACACACTTTGGTTTTAAAACACACCTGTTTGAGCTGGTGCTGTGATCATCATGTGTGCTGACTGTATCACTCACAAGAGACAGGACAGAAGTTAGCATAACAGGTCCCCATCTAAATGGGTAGTAGGATAACAATTAGATTGACTTAATGATCTGTGGTGAAATCTCCTTTGGGGCTTTGAAATTTTTATACATCTCTGCAAACAAATCTCATCTCATGCCAGCTCTTGAAGGAGTCAGTTATTGGGTCATTTAAAAAAAAAAAAAAAAAGCATCTAGAATGGGAATTAGACTGATACTGGGGCAAAGGAATCATACCAGTGGAGTCCAGGAGTGGGACTGGTAGCATCGACGATATTCTCTTTGGATGTGCTGAAGGCAACACTTGAATTGACTCTAAGCTGAAAAATCCTCGCAACTCTCAGAATTGATGCTGGAGACTGTCACCAGGAGGCCCTGGTATCATATACTAGCATACATATATGAACTATGTGTTTAGCACCAGAATGTATGACCTTTCTACATTGCCTAGATGAATTTTCTGCAAACGTACACCACATTTAGGGCAATCAGTATAGGAAATCCGTACCATGAGACTTGCATCCTCTTCACTGCACCATGCACAGAGAGACTTTTGCTTTATATACTTCATTTTACACATGCAAAACAGAAGCCAAGAGGGGTTAAGGGACTTGCATCAAATGATGCTACTAATTAGCTGAGATTAGAATTCCGATGTAATTAATTCTCAGTCCAGTGCTTAACAATGGAAACAGCTTTTCAAGTAATTCAACAATTCACCAGCCCAAAGAAAGTTGTCAAACAAAGTCGTCTGCATCTAACAAAAGAAATCAGACTAACTCCTGCTGAAAAGGGGCAGTCCTCTGTCCCTTCTGTGAAGGAAGACTGAGAATAAAAAATGGTCACTGGGTGATCCGTCCAGGAAAAGCTAAAGAAATGCCACCCTCCCTTGTAAAAAGGAGGTACTTTTCTAACTCCTAAGAAGGTATCTGGTATATAAAATGGGAACAGGGAAAAATAATTTGGTCTATGCTCGGATATAGAAACCCTCCTAATCTCAGAGAAGCCATCTGAAAAAAAAAAACAATTTATTGATATTGTTGAAACTGTATATGAAAATATTGACTTTTTCACACATGAAAGTGTCATAACAAGATACATTACATGAAAACTGCAGGGAAAGTTTTGTCCATTTCATAAATTTCCACGTTGGATATTATAGGAGGGTTTTGTGAAGGCAGGTAAGCCCCTCTGAGAATCCAGGAACGTACTTTAACTAACCTAGTTTTGTTTGCAGAAATGTATGAAAAGTTCAAACGCCAAAAGGAGATTTCGCCATAGGTCATTAAGTCAATCTAATTGCTAGCAATGGGAGTACTATTCCTCCTCAAATATTCCTCCTCAAACATATAATGAAATTAAAATGAATTAAATGTTTGTGAGATGGTTGTTAAGTCATAAATTAAGATGTGAATGTAATTTCAATCTAAATGAGGTTGAGGTTGGCAAAAGAGGACTGCAAGTACGTAGGAAGCTGGAGACGTTCCTGGACTTCAGGAGATGGGCAGGAGGGAAGATGGGGAAGGACAGGGGTGGATTTGTTTGATGGCAGACAAGGAGGTGTATAACAAAGGCTAGATCGTGGCATCTTAATTGCATCATCTACTGGAGACTTTATCAGCAAGATAAACACTTTACCACTACTCATTGCCCAAGCCAACAAGTGTGTTCCTGGGCTGCTTCTCCCAGACATCCAAGGGTGATGCTCAGAGAATGTTTGGAGCATTTAATTATCAGGGTATTTTAGGGACTTAAGAAATGAGTGTCTTGCATGTGTATGTGTGTGTAGGTGGATGAAAATATGTGTATACCCATACTTCGCTATAAAAAGAAGTGCTGTGGGTGTAAGGTTTTAGCAATATCTGTTATTCTGGATACCCATGTTTTTGCTGCCCTCTAGGTATTTTTTAAAAAAAAAAAAAGTTGCCTTAATTGAACATTTTAAACTGCAGCTTTCACAACGGAATCACAAACCATCTCATGTACCGTGTGGTGATCTTCAGTTTTCTTATCTCCATTAGTCCTGTAACTGTTCACTACTGCTGAAAAACCATAATAGTGTTTAAGAACACAGAGTCTAGGCAAAGACTGCCTGAGACACATCCCATTCCCATTGCTAAATAGCTGAGTGACCTCTCTGTGCATTAGGTTTTTTTTCTCTATAAAATGGAGATATGAAACCCCACCTTATCACATTGTTTGGAAGATTAAACAAGTGTGTAAACACTTAGCACAGTGCCTGGTTAATATTCAATGCTTGTTAACAGGCAATTTTAATGTAAATGCTCACATTTTTCCTTAGATGTAGACAGTCCCAGGTTCATGCCTCTCTTTGCCATTGAGGAATGTTCCCTCATATGTGGCTTAAGATAATCTTTGTTTAGCTTCAGGAGTTTGCTGCTGGTTGTCTTTTCCTGGATATATTGTATACCTCATTGTCAATGACAACAAATGTCCTCATTCTCCTTTGGTTCTTCTTGCCAACTCTGGTTTGAGCTCTCAGACAGTCTCAGCTCACACTCTTGGAAGCTTTTTTATTTGTCTTCCAATTAATTCCACCCTACTTCCAAAACCCCAGGCTCAGCCACCTCCCCATCCCATTTTTCATCATCCTTCAGAAACTGCCAAGAATTGCAGATGATGTTTGCAATGTCAGGAATCAGCTGCAGAGGGATTCTGAGAGGCACAAACCTCGCTCTCCCTGCCTCCCTGCCACTCCCCCTGCCACTTACAGTATGGAGCTGTGTTTCCACGGTAGGGTTGCTAGGCAAAATTGCATTGCTTACTTACCAGTAAGCAGAGTTGCTAGCAGAAAGCTCTGTGAGAGCCCAGATCTAACTAAGCTAATGTGTCCTTAGGCTAACAAAACTGTTATCAGGGAAGAGATGGTCTGATATGACATTTGGATAGAACTGATAGGATGGTTGTGTACTTCTGTCTAAATCATGTTTTCACACTTTGTTGATTGGTTCGACTAGAGCGCGTGTTCTTCCCTTCTCTTTACACAAACAGTATTTTGCAAAACTATCTCCCGTATCCGATTGATACAAACTATAGGAATTTCTGAAGTACTCAAAACCCATCTCCTGTAGAGTTGTTCATTTAGTTGTTAAAATTATATGTGCAATTGTTCCAAAGACCAAGCAAGCTTCGTAAACAGGAGGAGAGGGAGCCAGTTCTAAGAGCTCTCTCTTTTGAGAGAGGGATGTATGGACTGACAATTCGGGAAGTGTTTACTTGTTTCAGGCCTCAGAGGGCTAAGCCACATGTCCAATTCTCATTAAGCATAATTCTCCGCCTGTTTTTGTTTACTTCCACAATGTTATTTTGGAGAGCATGTATACTTCCATTCATTTGTGGGCTATTTTTTTCATTTAATTTTTACCCACTCTTTAATCCCCATTGTTTGCATCTTTATGTAATTTCTTAGAATTCTGAGATTAACAATTCAGATTGTTTTGTCTGGCTGGGAAATTACTTATTCGTTGTGATTTCTAGCCAGGATGTCAGGGATTTTACTCAAGAATAAAGACACTGCAGTAAAAATCCTAAGGCAGAAGCTAAACATGCAAGCTCGATTTATGGCTTGGTTTGTTGAAATGCAAACACATCACCATAGTAATACAACTGAACTGAGGATAATTTCTCAAAATGGAAAGATAATGGGAACTGCCTAGTAAGAGGACTGACTTCATTTTCTTATAACATGTTTTCTTCCAAGATTTATTTTAGAAGGTTCACTTACAACTAATAATTTCAACATCACAATGAATGGCCTTGTGGCACTAGCAATTCTATAAACTGAGTAGAGCTTTTAAACATCTTTGCCTAAAATCTCCATGGTAGAGATGCCGTAAGCACCCATTAGTGAGAATAGTGAAGTGAAACCTTCATGAAGCCTACTGAAAAAGTCCCACTCAAAAGCTGAATACACAAATGGATCATATCTACACACACAAAGAAAGTTTATCTCCAGCTTCTGACTCTGAGTCATGTTGCATGGCACCTATGACAGACTGGCCAGTTCAGTACTCTGCTGGTTTCACTATGCAAAGTTTTTGAAAAAGATGTTGGTATATACGGGTAAATTGTTTTTATCACTAGACTACCAATATAGGTGCATCTGGGATGGAAAAAAAAGAACATTCACAAATAATAAAAACTCAGGCCAGGCGTGGTGGCTCACGCCTGTAATTCCAGCTCTTCAGGAGGCTAAGTTCAGGAGTTCAAGACCTGCCTGGCCAACATGGGGAAACCCCATCTCTACTAAAAAATACAAAAATTAGCTGGGCATGTTGGC